AAACATAAAAAATGATTAAGAGGGAATTTCAAAGTTTTAATTTTTAATTATAAAGCCAATTGGCCGGAAAAAATTTTGAAATAAACGACTGGCATACTATGGAATACTGAAGAGGTTTGTTGGAGGAAGGCCATATAACGTGTGTCCTTTGGGCTGTTTCCAATTTCCAACGAGTCAATTCGAATGCGCACGATGACCAAGGATTTCTTATAATTTGTTACAAAATAAATTTCAAAGAAATTTAATTTTTTCAAATTCAATTTTTTAATTATCGAATTTTGTAATCAGTAAAATTCGTGAAAATCTGTAAAATGTATTCCATAAAATGCAAAATGTGATCGAAAAAAAAAATCATTTCATTGATTTATACGAATTTTGCATCAAAGGATCTGGTTAATTAATGAAATTAATAGGATTAATTATCCACATATAAATCAAAAAAACAGGTAATCATATAATTAATTTATTGATGATGTCATTTGCTTTTTTTTTTCTTTTAAAAACGATAAATGATGCCAATTTAGGAGTAAATTTTTGAAAGATGACATTTTAGTTTTGCTCGGTTTTTTTTTTTTTTTGAAGTTTTTCTTTTTTAGTAAATAAAAAGTTTGATTTATAATTAATAATTCGTAGCTATCATACATATATATCTTGTTCACAATACTCTTCTTGCAAATAATCACGTAAATTTTTGCAAAGAAGAAAAAGAAATAATAAATTTCTTACGTGATATTTCGTACGTGGTATTTCTTACGTGGTTTCTCACGTAATGATTTCTTAATTTCAGCATTATATGAATATATTTTTCATCAATGAAATTTATTGCTTACTCATTAAATAATTTAAAATTAATGGAAATTTAACTGAATATTATTACAATTTACTGAAATAAAATTTATTAATTAAATTTCGTTCTTAATTTTTAGAATTTGAACCATTATGATTTGTTGTTTTGATTAAGTGATGAATTGATAAATAACTATTAAATTTAGAATTTTAAACAAATTAATGTATGAAACTACATTTAACTAAACTCATTTATTAAAATAAATTCATGTTAATTTAAAAACTATCATTAGATGATCCGGAAATGATAAAGTTAACAGATCCGGAATGATATAAAAAGAATAGAATGATAATATAACATTTAAAAATTTATCATTTATTTCAATTAAATTAATAAAAAAGATAAAAATTAATTCTTTCCTTATCAATTATCATTGTAATTTAATAAATTAATTTTGTGCTTAAAATATAATATATTTTTGTTGGTATGTATTTAAAGAGAGAGAGAGAGAGAGAGAGTGGCTGATGTCTGTGAGATGTGTAAATTTGAATTGAAAGATACGATAGGAAGTGATGATAATGACAGGATAGCAGTCATCATGTCGTCAATATTATTCGGGCCATTCTCATTTTTCAGTTTTGTAGTTTTAGTTATCTCGCTATTGATATATTACGATAGAGCGAAAGGGACAAGAGGAATCAGTGCTATCAATCAACAGATTGTCTTTAGTGATAATACCAGTCTATGCACTGCACGGAAAAAAACATTATTTTTGTTAAATTAATATCAAAAAATTATTTTGTCTAATATATTTACATAACATTGAGCTTTTGGCTTTTTATTTAAAAATTTTGTCAACCGTATTTTGTTCACTTGTCATATTTAAATTTTGTCAACCATATTTTGATCACTTGTCATATTAAAATTTTGTCAACCATATTTTGATCACTTGTCATATTTAAATTTTGTCAACCATATTTTGATCATTTACCTTATTTAAATTTTATCAACCATATTTTGATCATTTGTCATATTTAAATTTTGTCACCCATCAATATTTAACCATTTAAATTAACAGAAAGGGGGAGTGAGGGAGAGAGAGAGAAAGAGAGAAAGAAAAAAGAAGAAACCTGTGATGAAGGTAAACGAAGCACTGAACCGGCAATTGAATTTCCGACCGCATGGCGTAATACGGCTATTGACCTGTAAAAATTTTTCATACTCAATTCTTATTTTTTTTTACAAAATTTTATTCAATTTAAAAAAAAATAATAATAAAATGAAACAATGAAAATGTATTTTATTTATTAAAAGAGGAAGAGAGAAGGGAGAAAAAAATGATCTAATTAACCTAATATTTATCTAATAAATTTATTCCAATAATTAGTGATATGATGGGATACAATGTACTGTATGCTAAATAATTAATGTAACATCGTAGCATAATAATTACTACTATTTACCTTAATAATTTCTTATCATTAATTATGATAATTTCGATTAATTAAATGCGTAATTGCATAAATTTCATTTTAAAACTTTATAAACATATGATATTCAATTTCCGATTTCTCGCTTTTTTGTTTTTTGTTACTTAAAAAAAAAAAATAAGCGAAATACAATTTTTGAAATAAAAAAATAACAAGCAAAATATAATTTAGAAAAAAGAACAAGAAAAACAAACAAAATGTAATTTAAAAAAAAAATGAATAAAATATAATTTGGAAAAAAAGAAAACAAACAAAAAAATGTAATTTAAAAAAAAAACAAATAAAATATAATTTAAAAAGAAAAAAAAGACGAATAAAATATAATTTAAAAAGAAAAAAAAACGAAATAGAAATATAAATTTAAAAAGAAAAAAAAAAAAACAAACAAAATATAATTAGATCATATAAAATACCTGCGTAAATTATCCAAATCATTTGATACCATTGATTTTGTTTTAATTACTGGTACAGCATCAACACCCATAATTATCATTGTTGAATGATATATTTTACGTTTTGGATACGATATACCGGCTAGCAAGAGGAAAATAATAATAATAACGGTTGTTGGCAGGCATTGAACCCGCATTGGGTTTAGTTTATCGCTATCATAAACAGTTTTGTTCTTCCTTTTTTTTTCCTTTTTTTTCTTTAATTTTTTATAATGCCTTAATTAATTTTGTTGTTTATTGTTGACTGTTATTTGTTTTGTCTTCTTTTTTTTTTTGTTTTGTTTTTCTTCCTTTATTTTTTTTCCGTTTTTAGGAGAATAGTCAAATTTTATTGTTAAATGTTTTTACTGTTTACAGTATAGCACAATTCCGGAAATAATAATTTTAAACAAATTGAAATCCTTTTTGGAATATATTTTTTTTTTTAACAAATCCTCCCAAGCAGTATAACAGTAATACAAGGATTTATGAAATACCAGAATTTCTGGATTTCTTGAACAGTAATAATAGTAATAATAATAATAATAATAATAATAATGGTAGTGGAATGTAGAATAATATATTATTATTCAAATAATAATTCTTGTTTATCAGCAATCAAAAATACAATATTTAAAATTCCAAATAATATAGCTTATCGAATTTTGAATGATTTGAAATGACTTGAAAATATATTAAATTGTAGTAATTAGCAAATAAATTTTTCACATAAATGCCAATTCAGTTTCTTTAGACGAAAGATAAACTGAATGATTGAAGTAGTGAGATGAAGAAAATAAATAGAAATTGGAATGGGAGGAAAGATGACAAGAAAATACAAAAAGGTATGGTTGACAGAATGCAGAAATAATAAGGTAGTAAAAATGGTTGAAAAAGAAGGATGGATGGATGGAAAATTAGTCTGACAATATTTTATAACAAATAAAAAAAAAAAAGGGAAAAAAATCAACGATTTGTTTGTTTGTTTGTTTTTTCTTTTCTTTTTTTTCCTAAAATAAATGGAAAAAAAAACAAAAAAAAAATTTTGCAATAGAATATGATAAAAGTATTTTAGAACATTTGCGCAATTAATGCAAATGTATAAACAAGCATGTACTGTATTGAAGTAAATAAAATGGTGTAATAATTTGCACCAATTCGGAAATTCCGGATTAAATATCACGGAAAAAAGAAAAAAACAAAAAATTTCGAAAATTCCGGATTAAATATCACGAAAAAAAGAAAAAAAACAAAAAATTTGCTATAAAATGAATCGATATGGATGAAATTTGAAATGGGAAATGATGAATATTTCCGAAAAATTACGATAGAATTGTTTGGCAAATAGTAATAGTAGTAGCAGTAGTAATAGTGATAGTAATAATAGTAATAGTAGTGATAATGATAATGGTAGTAATAGTTGTTTGTGGTAGGTATATAGTAGAAGTAAAAAATTTTTAAATATTTTACAAATAAACCGGAAAATAAAAATATGGAATAAATTCCTGTTCTGGTTTTCTCGAATGTACTGCTAGTGGGATGAAAATGAAACAGTCAACAAGAAAAAGAAAATAATAATTCAATTGAAAATTTGCTTGATGAAATAAACTATCGATAGTGATAGTGATGATAGAAATGATAGTAATGATAATAATAATAATAATAATAATAATAAGTAATAATAATATAGGAATGTTAGGTAAAATAACAATAACAAATTGTTATTAGCAATGAACACAGCAAAATTCAGTCGGTTTCAATCAGTCAATTAATTAGTTAATAGAAACCAGGAAAAAGAATTGAAATGGAGGAACTTTTTTTTTTCCTTTTTTTTCTCCGTAATCTTTTGCCGTGATCTTATGCGCGCGCGCAAATGCTCAAGTAGAAAATTTCAATTTTTGCACACGATCACAAAAAAAAAGAATTATTTTTTTTTTTTACCCCCAACCTTTTCTTGTTTCTCTTTCAATTGAAATGATAGCAGCCAGAAAATTATCCTCGTTGTCGTTGTCGTCGTCGTCTTTGTCGTTGTCGTTATCGTTTGTCGCTTAGGATGAAAGAGAGAAAAAAAAAAAAGAAAAGAAGGAAGGGAGAAATGTTCTAAAACAAAAAGAATATCTCGAATAATCCTTGAAATGTTTTAGTCGTTCCAATAGTGCTAGTAAGATAGTTCATTGACGTTTTTATCAACCGATATAATTTTGATACGCTCCTGTTATCACCGTGATTGCATTAGTAGGTGATGTAGTAAGAGTTAATTGTAAAATTAAATTCCATATTTGAATTTATCCTAAAAATTCATCGTTTCTTTCTTTTTTTCTTCTTTTCTTCGTTAATTTTTATAAATTTTAATAATTAAACATCGATCGATGATCATTGATCATTTGCCAGATTTGCCTCGTTCATTTTTTTTTGATTCCAACTTGACTTTTTGATTTTCGTTATATTCAAATATTTCGATTAATTAACTCGTTAATAATAACAATATTTCTTCTTGGTCCTCAATTCTCGAACAGATAAATAATAGATTTTACGTATTTTTAATTCTCGATTAAATATGAATAAATGTTTGTTTACTAAAAGATACTGTAGGAATTATTGATAAGTTTAGTAATATTAGACGAAAAATAGGGAATAATCGTATATGTTGTTATTGTCCATATGAATACATTGACGTATAAAATACATACATACAGCACTTCGATAAATGAAACGTTTTTACTTCTAGCGATGGAACGTTTACAGGAAAAATTTGAGGACCTGAAATTTTTGAAAAAATTTAATAATTTTTAAATTTTTATATAAAATCAATGATTTTTTCTTTTTCCTTTTTTTTTTTAATTGTATAATATGATAATGTAAAATGTGAAAATAAAAATAATTTACTGATCATTTTAGTTTTATTGATCTAATACATTCATTCATCTCTCTTTTTATCAATCGATCATCATCTCATTGTAAGATGAAATTTAAACAAATAATTTCAGGAATAAAATACTGGTAGGAAATTGAAAATGGAATTTATGGTATCTGAGGAAAAGTATATCATTACGTTTGTTCGTTTTATTTTAGGAATGTTTGAAATGTTAAATTTTTAAAAAATAAACATCGATCAACGATCACTGATCACTCGCTAAATTTATTTCGTTCAAACAAACTTTACTTTACTTTTTTTTTTTTGTTATGCCTAAATGTTTTGTTGATTAATTTGTTAGTATCATTGTTTCTCTATCGTTAATTCTCGAGTAAATATATGTATATGAAGCGTACTTAATGGTACTGTAGAAATTTTTTCATATCTTCAAGAATACTAAACAATGAATAGGAAATGATATGTTTGGTGAAATAAATGTCATAGTCTAGTAATTATCTTTAGTCTTTTGTGAGTAATATCCAAATCATTGGCAATTTAAAAGTAACAGTATGAAAGGTTAAAATGGTCATATTCATAGAACAAAAAAGAAGCAAATTATTCTGATAGCATATTTATACCGTAACAAATTATTCTGATAACGTATTTATACCGTAGCAAATTATTCTAATAGCATACTTATACCACAGTAAATTATTTTGATAACATATTTATGCCGTAGATATCGCCACCGTCGGTAATTTTAGGCTAATCTTTTATAACCACAAATTATACATTGCATAAAATTTCCATAAACTTCATGAAAGAATGGTATATTCAAATGACAAAAGAGAAAAAAAATAATGAATGATTAATTTCACTTAATGAATAATTAATTTTGCCTAAAACAATGAACAATTAATTTTACCTAATGAATAATTAATTTTGCCTAAAGCAATTGAATAATTAATCTTACCTACACGGATGTAGTGAAAATTTTCGTGATTATGTCAAATTTCATGTGTAATTAATTAATTTAAGAGTAATTCAAATTATTTATTTTAAAAAATAAATGAAATGAGAAGCAAAAAAAAAGAAAAAGAAAAGGACGAAAATAGTGTATAAAACAGTTGATAATTTAATGCAAGCTACTATCATCAATTGAACCAAAAAGGAAAAAGAATGGGAAGGAATGATATCACATTCCACAAATTTACGGTTGTTATTTAATGGGTGTTTATACGACAAATTTGTTAATGATAATGCAAAAGAGATAATCAACCTTCCCCTTTTTCACTTCTTTACCCGATCATCTCTCCTCCCCCCCCGTCCCCCGTCCCCGTCCCCCGTCCCCCGTCCCCCGTCCATCGACCATCCCACATCCTTCACAATATTTACATCGCTTTTCCCGTCCTAACCCGTCTTTATCATCATTTAAGATACTTCTTTCGAACCCCCCGAAAAAGATAGATGAATGGGCAAACAAATAGTATATGCGTATATAAACAATGATTGCTTACCCAAAAAGGAATTGATGTAGTTTAAGAAATCGGGGAGGAGGGGGGGAGGGAAGGGGGGTGGGAATGACTGAAACAGGTTGGGTTGATACTCGTATCGTTTCGCTGTTATATTTGCTCGGTATGATTGCTGATTGTTATTAATGATGATGATGATGATGGCAGTAATAGCAGTAATGATAATGAGAATAGTGATAGTTGATGATAGTTATCACTATTGCTATTGTATATCATCACATACGATTTCTTTTTTTTGATTCATAATAATAATGATGATAATAATCTTGATAAAAATGATAATTTATTAATATCATTATGTTATTAAATCTTTTTTAGATGATAAATGTATAAAAACTTGAGTATATTTTTTGACAATGATTTCATGGATTACCGTACATGAATTACAATATACCTTCAATGTAAATTATTGCAACATTTCGTGGATCACCGTACATGAGTTACAGTATGCCCTCAATGCATATTACTGTATTGATCTTATGCATTACTGTACATGAATTGTAGTATATCGGTATACAATACCGTATTGAAATTACATCTATGCATTAATAAATAAGGCAATTTTTCATTAAAAATTTGCAAAAAAGACTTTTTAATATTTAACAAAATAAAAAACAAAAAAAACATTTAAAGCCGATTGATGAATATGTAATTGTTAGCGTTGGAAAGGACGTGAAAACGTGACAATTTTTTTTTTTTGCATTTCCATTTTACTATTTAACATTTACTGTGGAAAAAAAAATTTACAACAATAAACGGAAAAAAAACAAAACGAAGAAAATTTATTGCCGAAATTTAATTTGGAATGAAAGTTGAACTTATGTCAAAAC